TATTGATGACACGATGCTGATTAACCATGGTGACCAAGTTACCATGCAACCTGAGCTGCCTTTCATGAGCTGAGTTTCATCTGACCCACCAAGCCATAAGGTTGGACATGCAGAACAGCACTCTATTGTCAAATGAAAGTGATACATAGCCAGGTGCTGGTGGCTCACGACTATAATCCTAGCTACTCAGGAGGCAGAGATCAGGAGGACTGTGGTTTGAAGCCAGCCTGGCAAATAGTTTCGTGGGACCCTATCTTGAAAAAACTCTTCACAAAAAAGGGCTGGTGGAGTGGCTCAAGGTGTAGGCCCTGAGTTCAAACCCTGCTACTGCCCTCCCTTCCCCCCCAAAAAGTGGTATATAGCCAGGCATGATGATGTACACATGAAATCCCAACACTTGGGAGGCTGAGGCAGGAGGAATGTGAAGTTAATGCCAGCCTGGGTTACACGGCAAGACCCTGCCTCAAAAAAAAAAAAAAAAAAAAGAGTGGGTCTGAGTATGCTCTGAAGGTACAAGTTACATGAAGAAATGGCTCCAGAGCCCATGGTTCTCACTCCTGCTTTAGAACTATGACTTCATGGGGGAGTTAGCTGCAACCCCTTCCTACACTAGGTTGTTGAGAGAGAAGATTCAGGGTCTGGTTTACAGACCTGTGTGATATGCAGGCACCACCCAAAAGTGGCAGCTACAGCACTACAGTCCCTCTGAGACATCCCTGTCAGATAGTGGTGAAAGGAAATCCTATTTTGCACAATTTCAGACAGTGAATCTCGTTATGCACTTTGGAAGGAGAAATGGATGGATGTGGGATAAATGAATAGGAACATGGGTTGTGGCCAAAGGTTTGTCTGGATGGTCAGGGACTTGGGAAGAACATGATTGGAAAAATTAATGAAGAAATTTTGGGGAAGAACTATGTGGATAGACCTCTCTGAGCAAAAAATGTGAGGATACTAGTGACTCATGTGAATGCTGACCAAACTGTGACTGCAGCAGAAGAGGATTTTAATAGGCAGTTGAAGAGGATGGCCCATTCTATGGAGACCAGTTAGTCTCTCCCTAGTCATTCCTGTCATTGACCAATGTGCTCAAAACAAAGTAGTTATGGTGGCAGATATAGAGGTTAGTGTGGGCTTAGTAGCATGACTTCCACTCATTAAGGCTGACCTGGATGCAACCACTGCTGAGTGCCCAACCTTGCGGGCAGTGGAGACCAACCCTTAGCTGCCACCAGCTACCTGGTGGCAGGCTAATTACACTGAATGGCTTCCATCATGAAAAAGGTCCTTACTTGGAATAGACACTCCGGATTGGATTTGCCTTAATCTGTGCAATGTTTTATATATCATTGTAGCATTGCTTCTGATTAAAGGACTCACACAGCAAAAGAAGCACAATGGGCCCAACCCATGGGACACACTGTCACTGGTCTTACCATGCTCCCCACAAGTCTCAGTTGGTTTGATACAACAGTGGTGTGTGTGTGTGTGTACGTGCTGGGATCAAACCCAGGGCCATATATATCCTAGGGAAGTACTGTACCACTGAGCTACACCCTAGCCTCTGGATTATTATTTTTTTTAAAAAGACATAGTTTGAAGATAGCTAGGTGGCAGTCCCTTGCAGGGTTGGGACAAGTTCTCCACATTGTGGACACTCTCAATCAGTGGTCAGTATATGATGCTATTTCACCCAGAGCAATCGCGAGGTAAATGAGAGTGGCGCAGTATTATGCCCAGTGACCCACTGGCAATTTTTATTTCCTGTTCTCATGACTGTGCTTTGCTGGCCTAGAACTGTCTCCAGAGGAATGCTCCCACCAGGAGTCACCAACCACTGGCCACTCTGGACTCCTCATGCCTCAGAATCAACAAAGAAGACAGTTACAGGGCCTGGTCAGACTACAAGGAGAAGTTGAACTACGAATCCATAACAGACATAAGAAGAGTATGACTGAAATACAGGGTATCCCACAGGATATGTCCTGTGACTAAGGTCAGCGGAAAACAACCCAATTCAGGAAGAACTAATAGTTCAGACTCTTCAGAATGGCAGAGCCTCAACCAGTAGACTGCTTGTTGAAGGCAAAAGAAATAGAGTAGACAATGGGAGAAGGAAGTTATAAATACCAAGAATTACCAAATCATGTAATGAAACAAAAACTGTCATTTCTCATTTTGTAATAAATATATTGTACCTACCTGTATTTCTTCCTCCTCATTCCCTTATAAGCTGTATTAACTTTATGTCATAGTAAATATCTTTTGAGACAGGATATCACTATGTAGTCCAGACTGGCTTCAAACTCACCACCCTCCCATCTCCCAAGTGTACCACATGCCCAGTCTTAATTTTGCATAGAATTTGTGAGATATTAAGACTAAACATTCAAAGACTTTTAACTTCTGAGGAAGGGTTTAGTGCATTTTCAGTTGTATACAGTTTTGGTTGTTTAGTTTTTGTTACGGAGAATTATGGGTAGAACCTTGTTACTCATTTTTGGGATGAAGGTACTGCTTGGGATGGACATGGAAGTCGAATTAACAGGTAGACTTGTGTTATTTTGTAACTTGACAAGGCCAAAGGATGATTGTTAAAATATTTGCTAAGTATGTTTGAATTGATATCTGAACTGGTAACTATGTAAACTTAGGCAGATAGCCATCCCCAATGTTGGTGGGTATTGTTTGGATATTGTCCCCCAAAAAAGCTTGTTAAAGGACTGATTGCCAGCTGATGGGCCTCTGAGAAGTGACGGGATCATAAAGGTTTTAACTTATGAATTAACCCATTGATGAATTTATAGCTGAATGTGGGGCCTACTTGGAGGTAGCAGGTCACTGGAAGTGTGGCTTTGGAGGGCATACCTCATCCCTGACCCTTCCCTAACCCTAGCCTCATAACCAGCTTCCTGGCCATGGTGTAAGCAGCTCTGCTCTTCCACAATGCTTCCTGCCATGATGTTCTGCCTCACAGCCCAGGAACATCTTAGCCAAAATAAAACTTTCCTCCCTTGGTTAGCTCATTTTGTCAGTGAGAAAAATTAACACAGTAGGCACAATCCAATTGATGGGGCTGAACAGAAAAGGCAGGGGGTTGGTTTCCTGACTACTGAACTTGGGACACAGACCTCCTACCCTCTGAGCTTCCAATTTTCAGACCTTTGAACCACACCATCATCTTTCCTATGTCTCTAGTTCACAAATGCCAGATTGTGGGACTTCTTGGCCTTCATAAAGGTAGGAGAGTCAATAAATCTTTGTAGGGACAATTATCTTATTCTCTGGATAAACCTGATACAGATGTGTTATAAATACCACGTATATCCAATATTCCTTATGAAATATTCTTGTAAAGGCTTAATTTAAACCTAAACCTCTTTAGTGTGTTAAATGAATCTTAAAAGGCAACAAGACATTCTACGAATGAGTGATAAAATCTAAGGATTAGGCACATTGGAAAACTGGTTTTAGACATGAAAATGGCATGGTACTGTTAAGAAAATGTTCTTATTCTCAGGAAATCCAGGTTTGAAAATTTTCAGTCTACAATGTACTTTCAAATGATTCAGAAGTTAAGGTATGATTGTTTTGAAAACATTTGTTCCAAAGCAATTATTAGTGAAAAATATGAGCAAGTCTTAATTTCACACTAGTGATTTCCTTAGAAGAAACAAAGTGAGTAATGCACCCAGCTCAATTAAGCTAAGAAAACACAAAATGCACAGATACAATACACTTACATCAATTCATCTTTACGAACTACATCCATCTGTCCAGTTTACTGTCAACTTTTCAGGTAATTCTACCACCTCATAGTAACTCTAAGTGCAATACTTCCAATACTTCCACAACCAAGCTTTAGTATTTTTCAAGGTAAAGTACTGTTATTTAATATTGTATTTGTTAATCATTTAACATGTATGAAATTGTCGTCAGTTTTATCAGCTTCCTTTTGTGTTGTGATTTTTTTGTCCTTCTAACCATGTTTTTCCCAAGTCCTGTGGGTGTTTTGTTTTGGAGCTCAAACCCAGAACCTTGTGCATGCTTACACAAGGTCTACGACTGAGCTACCTTCATTCCCATTCCAGTCCTGAGATTCCTACTGTACAATTTTGTGTATGTGGTGACTTAAAGATAACCTGTTTCAGAGCTCAGTGAACAGCAAAATGTAACTGAATCTACAGAGATGTACAAATTCTAAACTTTCCTACATACTTGCAAATTTTCCTAATAAAAAGAAATAGCACTCAATAAAACAAAAGCATATGAAAACTCTGCCCCTTCAGGAAGTTAAATCCCTTTTCATTAGTAATAAAAAGTATTCCTTTTAAATGTTAACAGGATACCTTTCCCTTTCATTGCTTTGTAATTAAAACAGAACTGGCTTAGATTGTATGGTGGGCTGCTATAAAACCCATGTCAACTGGTTTTAGGTAGGTAGTAGTAATTGGTTTACACCAAATTTAAAGTAAGCAATGATTAGGAGGTATTTCTCTTGGTGAAATTCTGCTTAAGGGTTCTATTAGGTGGGCGCTGGTTGCTCACTAGACCTGTAATCCTAACTACTCAGGAGGCACAGATCAGGTAGTCAAAGTTCAAAGCCAGCTCCTATCTCAGAATCTCAAAAAACCCATCAGCACTAAGAGCGTGAAGCCTCAGAGTTCAAATTCCAGGGCCACAAAAAAAAAGTTCTCTTGTATAAACTATTTGCATATTTAGGTGTAAAACATAAAAAAACCTATGCTTTAATAACTGACAAATATTCTACTAAGTAATACAGGTTACAGAATTCTGACTTAAAAGTTTTTAAGCTGTACTTGATTCAACTGTTCTATGAAAGGTAGAACTAAGTTTATTGTACAGCAGGGTCTTACCAATTAAAATGAATAAACTACTAAATTCTAGACAATTCATAAATCTTATCTAAAGATATCAGACTTAACTAAATTAGTTAACTAATTACTTGAGTTTTGGTAAGATACAGAATGCGATGGGCAAAACACCAAATTATGTAGGACAAATATGTGGTCTACCTTAAAAGTATGGCCTTTATCTAAAGGCGTGAAAGCTTGTTGAGTGCCTGACAAAGTTTAGAAGACCACTACCTAAAATTTATGCAGAATAAAGTGGCTAAAGCAAAGGTGGAGACAAGTTAGATTTTACACTATTTATGGTGAGAAACTCTAGCCTGGCCTACAGTGGTCTACTGGTTAAGTCTACTTTTTTTTTTTCTTTGAAGTGCTAGGGATTGAACACTGTCATACACACTAGGCAAGCATGTTCTACCACTGGGCAACACCCCAGCCCAGAATACACTTTTCTTTATAGAAGGAATCCCAATTAACACAATGATTATTCTTAGAGAAAGGGATTAAAGGGAGGCTTTTATTTTTACTTTGTATTTTTCTGTATTGTCAATTTTTAGAACACCATATATATTATGCTTAGATGTCTTTTATGCCAATGTGCATTTATCAATAATAAACATATTATATTGGGACATTTTGTTCTTGTACACATTTCTGTTTTTTAAAAAACATCAACAGGATAAATGCCTATGTAGAATATAATTAGTAAAATACTCAGGACAGTCATAAGATAGTCATGGAAAGGTAAAGTCTTTTTGGGGGTGTGTGTGGTTCATACAGGTTTTTCAAAACTACCAGAAATAATACAATGTTAGGGGGGAATAAATTAACCTGCCTTTTGAAACCAAATATTTAATTTTCATTAAACTGCTTCATACAATTTCAAGCAAATGCCAACTAGAAGACCAAATCCAGGAATTCATAGAGGAAACAATCTTCAAGACAACAAGGAAAAACCAAGGTGGTCATCTTCCATTCCTGCCACATCACTGGTGGCCATGATGCTGGTCTGCCAGTGTAACCCAGATTATCGAGTGTTTACCTGGTAAGAGAAAAGCTTAAGTTTCAAAACTTGTCATGATACAATCTTAAGGTTGGAAGATGTTTAAGGCAATTACCCAAATCCCCCCTCATTTTTACAGGTAAGAAAAAACTAATAATAGATTGTTATTACCTTAATGATTAGCAAACATTCAGGGGAAAAAATTATAGCCTTTTTTATCTCAAGGGGAAATTTGTAACTTATATATACTTACCACATCATCAATTTTCAGAATGCTCCGAACAGTTTCAGTTGCTAGGGTCAGAGCACTGACTGAAACCAAAAGAGGCTGGACAACCATTTCCTCCAAAATGTTGGAAATACCACCCTGAAATCAGTACAGGTTGCTTTTAGTGTTTGTAATTACACTTTAACAACTGCCCCACTATTAGTATGCCTCAACACTTTTGCAAACCTAGTTTTCTTTGATGTAGGCACAACAGGGTAAGGTATTCTGTTAGGCTCACTATAAGTTATACTCCAACTACAATTTGGAAAGTCCTAACTCCAGAAAAGCTTCTAAATATCATTTATTTAAAAATATCCTGGGGCTACTCTACCCAGCAAAGCTATCATTCAAAATAGATGGAGCAATAAAAGTCTTCCATGATAAGCAGAAACTAAAATAATATGTGACCACAAAGCCACCATTACAAAAGATTCTGCAAGGGATCCTGCACACAGAAAGTGACACCCAACTTAACCATGAAAAGGCAGGCAGCACCAAACCACAGGATAAGAAAAAGCAAGACAGTAGAGAGTAACATCAAGTTAGGTACACACAATCAAACTTTCAAACAACTAAGATAACTAAATGGCAGGAATCACCACATACCTATCAGTACTAACACTTAATGTTAATGGACTTAATTCACCCATCAAAAGACAGTTTGACAAAATGGATTAAAAAAGAAGATCCAACAATTTGTTGCTTACAGGAGACTCATCTCACCGACAGAAATAAGCATATGCTTAGGATGAAAGGCTGGAAGAAGATTTACCAAGCCAATGGCCCCCGAAAACAAGCAGGAGTAGCAATACTTATCTCTGACAAAGTAGACTTCAAACCTACATTGATCAAACGAGATAAAGAAGGACATTCCATACTAATAAAAGGGGAAATAGACCAAAAGGAAATAATAATCATCAATCTGTACGCACCCAATGTCAACGCACCCAATTTCATCAAACATACCCTGAAAGACCTAAAAGCATATATAAACGCCAACACAGTGGTTGTGGGAGACTTTAACACTCCATTATCATCAATAGATAGGTCATCCAAACAAAAACTCAATAAAGAAATCCAAGATCTAAAATATGCAATAGATCAAGTGGACCTAGTAGATGTCTACAGAACATTTCATCCAACCTCTACACAATATACATTCTTCTCAGCAGCCCATGGAACCTTCTCCAAAATAGATCATATCCTAGGGCACAAAGCAAGCCTCAGCAAATATAAGAAAATAGAAATAATACCATGCATACTATCTGACCACAATGCAGTAAAAGTAGAACTCAACAACAAAAGTAAAGACAAAAAACATGCAAACAGCTGGAAACTAAATAACTCATTACTTAATGAAGAATGGATCATCGATGCAATAAAAGAGGAAATTAAAAAGTTCCTGAAGTCAATGAAAATGAAAACACAACCTACCGGAACCTATGGGACACAGCTAAGGCAGTCTTGAGAGGAAAGTTTATAGCCATGAGTGCATATATTAAAAAGATTGAAAGATCCCAAATCAATGACCTAATGATACATCTCAAACTCCTAGAAAAACAAGAACAAGCAAATCCCAAAACAAATAGAAGGAGAGAAATAATAAAAATAAGAGCTGAAATCAACGAAATAGAAACCAAAAAAACCATACAAAGAATTAATGAAACAAAAAGTTGGTTCTTTGAAAAAATAAACAAGATCGATAGACCCCTGGCAAACCTGACTAAAATGAGGAGAGAAAAAACCCAAATTAGTAGAATCAGGAATGCAAAAGGGGAGATAACAACAAACACCATGGAAGTCCAGGAAATCATCAGAGACTACTTTGAGAACCTATATTCAAATAAATTTGAAAATCTAAAAGAAATGGACAGATTTCTAGATACATATGATCATCCAAAACTGAACCAAGAGGAAATTAATCACCTGAATAGACCTATAACACAAAATGAAATTGAAGCAGCAATCAAGAGTCTCCCCAAAAAGAAAAGTCCAGGACCTGATGGATTCTCTGCTGAATTCTATCAGACCTTTAAAGAAGAACTGATACCAACCCTCCTTAAACTGTTCCATGAAATAGAAAGGGAAGGAAAACTGCCAAACACATTTTATGAAGCCAGTATTACACTTATCCCAAAACCAGGCAAAGACACCTCCAAAAAGGAGAACTATAGGCCAATCTCCTTAATGAACATTGATGCAAAAATCCTCAACAAAATAATGGCAAACCGAATTCAGCAACACATCAAAAAGATTATTCACCACGACCAGTAGGCTTCATCCCAGGGATGCAGGGGTGGTTCAACATACGAAAATCAATAAACGTAATAAACCACATTAACAGAAGCAAAGACAAAAACCACTTGATCATCTCAATAGATGCAGAAAAAGCCTTTGATAAGATCCAACATCATTTCATGATAAAAGCTCTAAGAAAACTAGGAATAGAAGGAAAGTTCCTCAACATTATAAAAGCTATATATGACAAACCTACAGCCAGCATTATACTTAACGGAGAAAAACTTAAAACCATTCCCTCTAAAATCAGGAACCAGACAAGGATGCCCACTATCTCCACTCCTATTCAACATAGTACTGGAATTCCTAGCCAGAGCAATTAGGCAAGAAGAAGGAATAAAAGGAATACAAATAGGTAAAGAAACTGTCAAAATATCCCTATTTGCAGACGACATGATCCTATACCTTAAAGACCCAAAAAACTCTACTCAGAAGCTTCTAGACATCATCAATAGCTATAGCAAGGTAGCAGGATATAAAATCAACATAGAAAAATCATTAGCATTTCTATACACTAACAATGAGCAAACGAAAAAGAATGTATGAAAACAATTCCATTTACAATAGCCTCAAAAAAAATCAAATACCTAGGTGTAAACCTAACAAAAGATGTGAAAGACCTCTACAAGGAAAACTATACACTTCTGAAGAAAGAGATTGAGGAAGACTATAGAAAGTGGAGAGATCTCCCATGCTCATGGATTGGTAGAATCAACATAGTAAAAATGTCGATACTCCCAAAAGTAATCTACATGTTTAATGCAATTCCCATCAAAATTCCAATGACATTCATTAAAGAGATTGAAAAATCTACTGTGAAATTTATATGGAAACACAAGAGGCCACGAATAGCCAAGGCAATACTCAGTCAAAAGAACAATGCAGGAGGTATCACAATACCTGACTTCAAACTATATTACAAAGCAATAACAATAAAAACAGCATGGTACTGGCACAAAAACAGACATGAAGACCAGTGGAACAGAATAGAGGATCCAGATATGAAGCCACACAACTATAACAACTTATCTTTGACAAAGGAGCTAAAAATATACGATGGAGAAATAGCAGCCTCTTCAACAAAAACTGCTGGGAAAACTGGTTAGCAGTCTGCAAAAAACTGAAACTAGATCCATGTATATCACCCTATACCAAGATTAACTCAAAATGGATCAAGGATCTTAATATCAGACCCCAAACTCTTAAGTTGATACAAGAAAGAGTAGGAAATACTCTGGAGTTAGTAGGTATAGGTAAGAACTTTCTCAATGAAACCCCAGCAGCACAGCAACTAAGAGATAGCATAGATAAATGGGACCTCATAAAACTAAAAAGCTTCTGTTCATCAAAAGAAATGGTCTCTAAACTGAAGAGAACACCCACAGAGTGGGAGAAAATATTTGCCAATATACATCAGACAAAGGACTGATAACCAGAATATACAGGGAACTTAAAAAACTAAATTCTCCCAAAACTAATGAACCAATAAAGAAATGGGCAAGTGAACTAAACAGAACTTTCTCAAAAGAAGAAATTCAAATGGCCAAAAACACATGAAAAAATGCTCACCATCTCTAGCAATAAAGGAAATGCAAATTAAAACCACACTAAGATTCCACCTCACCCCTGTTAGAATAGCCATCATCAGCAACACCACCAACAGGTGTTGGCGAGGATGCGGGGAAAAAGGAACCCTCTTACACTGTTGGTGGGAATGTAGAACTAGTACAACCACTCTGGAAAAAAATTTGGAGGCTACTTAAAAAGCTGGACATCGATCTACCATTTGATCCAGCAATACCACTCTTGGGGATATACCCAAAAGACTGTTACTCCAGAGGCACCTGCACATCCATGTTTATTGCGGCACTATTCACAATAGCCAAGTTATGGAAACAGCCAAGATGCCCCAGCACTGACGAATGGATTAAGAAAATGTGGTATCTATACACAATGGAATTTTATGCAGCCATGAAGAAGAACGAAATGTTATCATTCGCTGGTAAATGGATGGAATTGGAGAACATCATTCTGAGTGAGGTTAGCCTGGCCAAAAGACCAAAAATCGTATGTTCTCCCTCATATGTGGACATTAGATCAAGGGCAAACACAACAAGGGGATTGGACTATGAGCACATGATAAAAGCGAGAGCACACAAGGGAGGGGTGAGGATAGGTAAGACACCTAAAAAACTAGCTAGCATTTGTTGCCCTTAATGCAGAGAAACTAAAGCAGATACCTTAAAGCAACTGAGGCCAATAGGAAAAGGGGACCAGGAACTAGAGAAAAGGTTAGATCAAAAAGAATTAACCTAGAAGGTAACACCCACGCACAGGAAATCAATGTGAGTCAATGCCCTGTATAGCTATCCTTATCTCAACCAGCAAAACCCCTTGTTCCTTCCTATTATTGCTTATACTCTCTCTACAACAAAATTAGAGATAAGGGCAAAATAGTTTCTGCGGGGTATTGAGGGGGGGAGCGGGAGGGGGTGGAGTGGGTGGTAAGGGAGGGGGTGGGGGCAAGGGGGAGAAATGAACCAAGCCTTGTATGCACATATGAATAATAAAAAGAAAAAAAAAAAATATCCTGGGGCTGGTAGAGTAGCTCAAGTGGTAAAAGTGCCTGCCTAGCACAAGCATGAAGCCCTGAGTTCAAACCTAAGTGCTACCAAAAAAAGAGGCACTTTTTTTTATGCTGGCAAAATTAGGTGATTACAGTAGTTAAGTTATGAGATCTTCATTGTTTAAATCACTTTTGAATCTTAATTCTGAATTTGGTGAAGTCTAGTCTACCTTTTCTTTACTTCTCTCATAATTTCCTATAGCAAGTCCTTCATTACACTATACCTGCCTCCAAGTCTTTCCTCCTTAAAAACTCTCTTCATTGCCTCAGCCTCTTGTTTAATGAAATTTCCTTATCCCATCAACCAAAGTGGACATTTTCATAAAAATCTCCCTAACCAAATAGTGCCACCCATTGGAAGACATTGTAGGACTCAAAAAAGTAACATCTTAGACCAGGCATGGTGGCCCATACCTATAATCCCAGCTATGCTGGAGGCAGAGATGAGAGGACAGTGGTTTGAGCCCAACCCAGACTAAAAATTAGTGAGACATGCCCATCTCAACAAATAAGCAAGGTGTGGTGGCTCACACCTGGGGGTCTAGCTATGCAGGAGACCATAGGTAAGATGACTGCAATCTAGGCAGACCCTAGAAAAAACACAAGACTAACAACAACAAATAACATTTTAGATTATTCCTCTTTTCTATCATATAATTTCCTCAATAAAATACTAATAAAAAAGGGAACATGATTATTCTTCTCTGTTTTTATCCTACATTACTATACCCATGTTTTATCCTACATTACTATACTTGTGGATACAACAGGCGCAATGGTCAATATTTACAGTGTCTAATTAGTAATGTATTTAGTTCTCAAAACAGATTCATGAACTATTATGTTTTTACAAGTAAGGAAATTTAAAAACTAAGTAACTAGCTAAAAGTTAAGTCAATAAGTGACAGAGTTAATGACTAATATTCCCACTAAGACATCATCTAAGGCATAAAGTAATTAACCTTAGAAACTCTCATTTATGGACTGGAGGAGTAGCTCAAGCAGAAACTCTCATTTAAATGCAAGATCACACTACTTTTAATTACAAAGCCTTTCATTCAACAAATAATTACATAACTTTTACTTCATTATGAATCAACATTTTCTGCAATAATTAAAGAGTAAGTTATTACCTTTCGAACATTAATGCCTGAAGTTTTTTCTCCTTGGGCATGCCGATTTCTCAATTCTGTTACTGTAGAAATAGGATTCAGGCCAGCATTTTCAGCTAGTGTAGATGGAATGACCTCCATAGCATCTGCGAAAGCACGAACGCAATAGGATTCCATACCACTCAGTGTTCGTGAATATTCAGTCAATCTTAGGGCCAACTCTATTTCTGGAGCGCCACCTCCTGCAATAAGAGCTCTGAAATTCACAAATATTTTAGTTTTTTTATTCAACAGAAAGTTATTTTTAATAATTTACTACTTATACTTCAAAAATAGTCAAAATGCAAAAGTTTTAACGTTTGAACTATTACTTAGTATTGTAACATGTACATTACCTCTTCTTCACTAAGCAGCGAATAACACACAGGGCGTCATGAATGGAGCGCTCGGCTTCTTCAATCACTAGCTTGTTAGAACCACGTACAACAATTGTGACTGTTTTTCCAGGGCTTGCACAGCCTGTAATCTTTAATAAAAAATATTCCAAATTAGTTAAAAGTTAAAAAACACAACTCAGGCAAATGAAAGCTTAATTAGAACACTGTTACCTTGAGCAGTTTTCCAGAACCATTTAAATTGACCTCCTCGGCTAACTCAGCAGAACCCAGCATGTCAGCAGTGAACTGGTCAATATGGGCTACTGGTTTAGTTCCAATTGTCTGGCAAAAATTAATCAAACCCACAAGTTAAGACATTTATTTGACTAATGGACACTTTTGCACACATGTATAAATGTTAGTATTTTACCTTACAAATGAACTCAATGTCTTCTCTTTCAATATCCTTAATCACCATAATCTTCATCTTGTTCAGAAAATGTAAAGCAAGATCACTAAGGGCATCTCTAAAAACACATAATCAGTTTTTATGTTAATGCTGGGCAATAAAAAACTCACCTTGCTGTTCAACAGCTTTTAAGGCTTTAAATTATTTTACTGTATTCAAATGGCCAATTTTATTTATTTGTAAAGGAAAATGCTTTAAATGCTAGTTTAAGTTTATAAGTTCAAAATCCTTAAAATAAGATTTCCAATTCTACTGGAAATTTTATTGAGATTTCAGAAGTAAAATGTAACCCTCTCCATGCCCCCCAAAGATGGTGAAAGCTAAGCAAACTGAATTTTGGGACCAATTTACTTGAGGTCACTAGTTATTACATGACTTGGGATTAGAACCCACTTGTCCAACTATATATACCAAGGATTCTATCTAAAATAAGCACCCACAGTACTTTCTGGCATTACTTATCAATGGAGTAAAAATGGGAATGTGTCTACCTATTAGAAAACACTGAAGAAGAAAAAAAAGCAAACAGTTCAAAAACTTGAGAAATTCTTTTGATGTAAGAACTATCCTAAGCATTCCCACCAAAAGCAAGCAATTGCATGGGCCTTTAAATTAATACCCCTTTTAGGTAATTAGTTTTAGATCAAACTTAAAGAGTTAAGCAGGGCATTCCATTTTCTTCCATTTAAGATCTTGATCTACAATTTCAAATTGTCACTCTACATTTCAGATGCTTTAGTCACCTTAATTGTTTCTTTAAAAACTGCTACTGGGTATTTAAAATCATAATTAAGCAATAAACAAAATAGTCCCACACCTTAGGATAGACTTCTGTATGAGAAGGACATTACATCCTGTTTTTTTAATCTGCTTCACTAAATTTAAAATATAGGCTCTCTCTTCTCGCAGCACTCTGTCCATCTGGGCATAGTCAGAAACTACTATTTGATTATCCATCTGTTCAGAAAAAGAACATATCAACAACTTATACTGTTAAGTGAGAAGTAAAAGAAAAAACCTTTTAAATGAAAATATCATGTACAGAATAAATTCAACCAAAACCAAACCATATAAATTATATAGACAAGCAAAAAAGCTTGGAAATATATATGCACACACAAACTTAGGTCTTTTACTTTCAATTATTCCACTGTTGTTGACTTTTCTTTTTCCTTTGAGACAGGGTCTAAAGTGGCCTTGAACTTCTGACCTATCCCCCTAACTTCCAAATACTGGGATTACTGGCATGCACCAGCATGCCCAGCTCCACTGTTGTCTTTTTTTTTTTTTTTTTGCATACAAGCAATGTATGTACAACACAAATGGTTTTAGTTGCATTCTTTTTACTCTATACTTTGTCACTAAACTGTTATGTTAAGACAATGACCAGGACACATTTTATTAATATTAAGGCATTAAAAATTAATTTTTGTATGGTCTGAAGTTCTGAAAAATAAAATACCAGGAAACCTGGATGCCAGCACAAGTTCTTAAGAAAAGAAGCCTGGGGACCAAGCAAGTTTCTTAGAGAATGGCACACTAATAGGTAAAATAGTATCTTAAGTAAGTAAGGCCAATTTCTTTATAGTATGTGCATCAAACTGTTATAAGGTTCCATTTGTACAAATAAGTCATCTGCAATCTCCTGAATAGATGAAGCTGTTTCCAGAAATCTACAAAGAATATGAAAATTCCACAAACACAACCTAGACATAATCTATTTTTAAATTTCACACATACCCCTAATTATTATTGTCTTCAACTGTGATTTGTCACTTGTGGCAACAATTTCTATTTTGTCTGAATTTACTAATTCCTTTGAAATTTACATTTTATTAAATTACTAGTACCACCATTTTCTATTTTTTTTTAATGAACAAATATCAAATTATTAGAAAATTAAATAATAAACAGAAAACCAATTACACTTGGATTTTACTTACATCTGTTTTGGGAGCAGATAAGCAAAACTGAATAAGCCCAATCTTAGCCTTTTCAACTCTGGATATGCCAGAATTCGCCACTTTTTGGGTGAGAACTAGCCCCTCCACCAATTCACAGTCATCAATTGTCCCACTAAGAAAAAAGAAAACAAGGAGGGGACAAAACCTAAGAATTTAATAGGTTCCCAACAGCTCATCAGTCCAATGAAAAGTGCTTCAGTCTCACATTAATCCTCCATTTCTGGACCTTCTGGATCCACTTCTGTCGCACCACCATAAGGAAATATAAACAAAACCTTGAGATTTCCATAGTAATGCAAGTTCTTAAGAAAACAAAGTTTTTCAACATTATAGTGTTTTTTTTTTTTTCTTTTCTTTTGGTGGGAATGGGGTTTGAACTTAGTGCTTTGTACTTGCAAAGTAGGTGCTCTACCACTGAGCCACACCTCAGTCCACTTTGCTCTGGTTATTTTAGAGATAGGGTCTCCTAAACTATTTGTGCTTGGGCTGGCCTCAAATAGCCATCCTCCTGATCTCAGCCTCCTGAGTAACTAGGATTATACACATGAGCCCCTGGCATCTGGCTCATTAGGTATTTTTTATTTAACCTACTTTTGGTAATATGAAAGTTGTAATTAGAGATGCTTACCTGAGTTTCTTAACTATTTTAATATCTCTAAGATCTACACTAGTAGCTGTGGCTGGGTCAATCACTTTCATCACTGCATTTACACTCATTGGAGACAGCAGACTTGAATACTGAGACACAACCTAGAATTTTTTTTAAAAAGTTAAAAAAAAAAGTTACTTTCACAATAGAAAAGATCCTAATTTTTCAATAACAAAGATATACAAGGACTTTTATCTTTTTTGAGTTGGGTGGGGAAAAGGAACCACATGAGAAAATACTGTATACAAAACTGCCGTTTCCAGTTTGTCATTTACCAGGGGCACAAATGAAAATATCAACCCTTGCTTTTATTAATACAGTTCTCAGAACTATTCAGATTATTAATAGTTTTATAGGAAACCCCAAAATGTATCAGATTAATTTTAAGTGCAGGTCTCCTAAAATGAATGGAATCAAGTTATCCATGTTATATATATGCACACCTCTATACTGAGGGGCTGATAAAAACATCTAATGCTAGTATTTATTATTTATTAACATACACACCAGGTTATAGTGTTTTGCATGTTACTAATTCTTTGAATTTTCAGACAGATTGAAACAAAGGTTAAGTCATTTACCCAAAGTCAAACTTAGCTAAGTAGTGGAGCCAGTACAATATACAAGAAGTCTATTCTATAACGAGTGTTAGGGACATTCAACAATATTGCTTATTATCTAGCTCTTCATTTATAATAAAAGAAAATGAATGTACGGATTTAATACTTGTGAAAAAAGGAAAAAAAGGACTAGGGCGGGTGATAAATAACACAGTAAGATATGGTAACATTAAATTTTTTACTGTTAATTTTTTTTTTTTCCTAGTTTCAACTTCCCAAGAAATTTAAAAGTTCATTGCTAAGAAAAGTGGCACTGGTATTAGTTGACAGAAAGACCATGGATGGGCAGTCCGTCCTGGCTTCAAATCTCAGCTTTATGTTTCATTAATGAGTCTTTGTGAAACTATTAAATATGATTACTTAGTTGAAAGCCTTATAGATAATAAATGTAAAAAACATGATGCTGCTCAGCACGTTAAGTATTTAATAAAAAAATTAACTGTACTAATAGAAATTCTATGGGAGTCTTTGTGACTTGGGAGAAGGAAAGGTTTCTAATAGACAATTTAAAGCCTAGCAAGTTATTTAGCTATATCAAAATGTTAAAAGGCCGAAAACAACAAAACAGTGTTAAAGTACATAAAGTGAAAAGCTGGAAATGGACATTGTGCATTTCCTTTGCTAACCTTATAGATCATCTTATTTCATAATCTTAAAACTAATACAGTTATACAAGTTTCGTTACCTAGTCACCCTTGACACTTAAATGTGCATGTACTGTATAGCACCAAGAATCACAGATTAACACATGCTAAACTGTAACTTGACAACTGTACCTTAGTGCTTGTCTCACCTTTGAGTTCAATGAAGTGGTTGCACTATTTAACAAAGTTTCTCTGTCACTCAGTTCCACAGGTCGAGACATGTCAGTTAAGATTTCAATACCCTTTTCCAAAGCCTTCTGGAACGACTCAGAAATGATGGTTGGATGAATCCCTGTCATTTATGAAAGACTAGTTGTTTAATTATTAGCAGATAAACTCTGTCACAACTTAAAAATATACTACTTATTAAAATGTCAAAGCAATCAAATACTTCTCTTTTTTGTGGTGCTTGGGACTGAACCAAGTACACATGCGAGGCAAGTGTACTACAAGTGATCTATGTCCCTAGCCCACAAATACTTTTTTTTTTTAACTTTAGTTTTTTGAAGTGTCATGTGTTTTTACCTGGGTTGGCCTCAGACTGAGATCCTCCTACCAATACCTTTCACATAGCTGGGATTACAGCTGTGGACCACCACATCAAGCTTGTTTATTGAGATGGGGTTTGGCTAACTTTTTGCCTGACTTAGCCCCAAACCACAATCCTACCTATCTCATCTCTACCTCCACAGTGACTGAGCTTAGTCCTGAGCCACCACTCCCAGCCCTGACTTAAATAACTTTTAACTGCTAATTATAGCTAATAATTTGCTTCTACTTTGTTTGAAACAGATCAAGTACATATTTATGAGATACTTTAAAATAAAATTTTATCCTTTCAAACATCAAACATCTAGGTAACAGGTAGAATGATGGAGTCACTATTATGAATAAACTATTTACCGAAGCAAGAACTCTTACCAGTCATTTCAAATTAAATCCCATTACTTAAAAGTAACTTGGCTTTTCCTAAAGTTTTCTAAAAAACTTTTCTGCCTTTTTATTCCGTAATAAGGTAGGTCCTACCTACCTTTCTGAAGAAGCTTGGTACAGGAATCTAAGAGAGAGCCAGCAATGATGACCACTGATGTGGTGCCATCTCCTGCTTCTATATCTTGAGCTTTAGACAGCTCCACCAGCTATGTGAACAGAACATGCCAACATAGTAAGAAATGAGATGAACCCAATTAAGAACTAATTCAAATTATTACATCAGTGTCATAAACACAGAACACAAAAGATTCAATATAATTCTTCACTTCTGATTTTTTGTCTACCTGGGGTTTCATTTAAAAAATGGAAACCTAAGACTTGTGGCATACAAAATATTCTACTTACAAACTTTCTTTATATAAAGCAATACTATGATTTCTGGTTCAGACTGTGGACTATAAATAAAAATTTTCTTAAAAGAAAAACTCTTATCAAAAAGCATCAATGTGGTATACCATTGGTACTCTACAGACTTCAAGTATGAAATGAGGTATTATAGACGCCGCCGCCAAGTTTAACGATGCTGTGTGAACATAATCTGATTCATATTAGATCACTGTTACATAAAAAAGGGACCTTTTGTTTGTTTTGCAGGTGGGATCTCACAATGTTGCCTAGGCTGCCTCAAACTCCTGGGCTCAAAGGATTCTTTAGCTTCATTCAGTGTTCCGGTACCTAGGACTACAGGAATGCACCATACGCCAAGATGTTTTAATAAATAAGAATTTTTAAGACGTTTGTTTTTGCTGTCATGATGATTTCCCAGGTTGACACTAGACTCATCATTGTGACCCTCAGTTAGAAACATCAGTTTGGCATGACTTTATTATATACAGTTAAAATTATTTTGTTTCCTAGGGGCTGGGAATATAACTAGCATACTAAGCCTCTGGGTTCAATTCCCCCCGTACCCCCAAAACAAAAATATTTTGTTCTCTAACACTCATTAAGTTAGTAATTTGTACTAAAAAACTAGCATTTAATTTTTATATCTCTTCCTCAACTGTATGGCACTTCTGTGTGGACAAATGAGTTAATTCATGTTTTATTATCACTTTATTCAGAAGACAAACAAAAATATGTCTGTTTTACATAAAGAAACAACTTCAGCATGCTTAAATGGCATTGTGATCAAATAAACAACCAAATGTCAAACAGTACATGTTTAAAAAAAAATTTACCTATAATTATACTTACCATCCTGGCTGCTGGATGTAATACTTGCATTTGTTTCAAAATGGTGGCACCATCGTTTGTTATGGTCACGTCACCCTTTCCATCTTGAATCTGGAAAATTTGTTTAGAATTTGTATTTTAATTCTAAAAACTCTACTCAATTTTAATACTTCATAGTAGAAAAGTTATGTTTGCATAGGGCTTAATTTAAAATTCTTTCCTTAAATCAATATAATAATGTAAGAATATTAGGTAACAATCCAACTTTACAAAAGTAACTGCCTCTTCAAGGTACTTCAAAAAGGAAGGAATCTAAACATACACAACAGAAAAGATGTTAGAAAGATTCACTAGCATTCGGGGCTCATACAAATAATCAGAAACATATTTTCTACCATGGATGCCCAAAAAGCACCATGTAATGTGGTGAACACAACTGTAACAGTCATTACACTAACATGTTTCACGGTATTCTCAAAAAAGAGTAACTAGGAAGCACAGACTTTAGGACATTCAGAAGAACAATTTGCATATCATCCAGGTAATACTCCATTTTTGGGCATTAACTAGTACTGAATCTGAGTACATATTACTCAAGAGTTACTGGAATATATGTTTTATGATGCCAGTCAACCAAGCTATAAGTTGAAATCCCACAGATCTTCATTAGAACAATCTCATCCTTAAGGAAAACTGAATTCATGCCCTGACAACTGGACTTACTTTATTTTCCATCTAACTGCACAACAGATAACTACACTTGTTTAAAAAGGATTAAACAAACCAAATATGAATCACAGCTAAGTCCTATTCAGTCCAAAGTAATCTCTCCTTCCCCTATCTCTCAAAAGTATCTAACACTTTTTACTTTTTAAACAGCACATCTTAACCTTTCATCAGACCTTGAACTATAAATGCGGGGCACTTAGTACTGAATGATTTAGATTTTACCATTTTATCCATTCCTTTTGGTCCAAGGCTTGTTCGAATAGCATCAGCAACCGCTGTAAAAACAAAACAAAAAACAAGTAACAATTTACCGTGTCCACTACAGAATATTCATGTCTAGTACAATCTACTGGAAACAGTAATTACCCCTTTAAAATTTATGACACTCCACATGTTTTGTTAAAGTCACTATACATAGTATTTGTGTTCTGCTTGTGGCAGAATACATCTTGAGAATTCTTCAAAATAGTACTATATAGTTGTAAGTTCTAACTGAGGGGTGCATTATTTCCTCTAAAATAGTATTTCTTCAAAATAGGACAAGCTAAAACGGACACATTAGACTTCCTAACTATACTATTCACTTATTTACTTTTTCTCTCCCCACAAGAATACCATCTCTTGAAATCAAAGACTTTTGTTTTGTTCAGTAATGTCAATATGGTATAAAATGGCATAGGCAAAATTAGCATTGTCAACAGGGCAAACCAGTGTTATATAACCTCTGAAAATGCTACAGAGCAACACACTTTGACAAACAAAACCAAAACTCTTAAATCATAGCTTGTAATCATTATCAAGGTTATAAAACATCTCCAGATAGTCATGTTATTATTAATACTATTCTCATGTTAACTAAATTGCTAGTATTAAAGTTATGTCCTTATTATTCATAAGAATGTTTATTTATAGCTTTCTCACATACCACTGCACCCATATACATAGGACTATCCTCTCATCATTTTATTATACTCCACAACTAGTATGCTTTTGCCATATTGTGGGAACAACAATTTAATGGAAAATACTCTGCATAATTTAAAAAAATATTTAAAAAATTTCATAACTTTGATCTACTGTTCTTAATTATCCAGTCAATACTACACTTTCAGACGATTTTAGTGGACCAGCATGGCCACAATTCTACAAGAGGGATTCACTTCAAGAATGCTCTGGGATAAATATCCACCATCCAAAAAAATTCACTATTTTAGACATCTTACGTCTCTGAAAGTCTGACATACAGTGAAATTAAAAACTGACTCCCAGAGTTAAACTAAAAACATACCTGGCAGAAACCTTTTTCTCCTCACGTGCTTTGTAGGGTTTTGTCTGACTTGGAAAAACTAGTTGTCTAACTAGTTGTGTCTCTCTCTTAAGACTGTTTCACTCTATGTGGTTAGGTTCACAGATAATTTAAGGTAGCCTTTCCTTCTCACGTGCATTACCTCTTTTGTTCTGTTTCAATTATTTGTGCAGTTGTTTTCTAAAAGGTTACTAAAGTAAATTTCTCATTTTGTATCTTCCTTCTTAGTTGAAAATCAACTAAGAATGTATTCTTGGACATCCACATAGCCCCAGAACCTATCTTTCAACATCCCGATTTAATAATCTAATACATCTATCTCAGATACAGGTATTATCTCAACTTCCAAATGACTCCAAATCTAACCATCTGGTCAATCTGACATCGCCAACTACTTGGGCCCAAATCAGAAACTTTTGATGGTTCAGCACCTACCTTTTAGCATCATCACATTTCCAGTCAGTTGAGCTGATGACTGCAATACTTACCTGCAAGGTGTACTTTATATATTGGTCTTTATACTTTCTTATTTAATCCTCACTGCCACCTAACGAATTAGCTATTATCTCATTCCACTTAAGAATGATCTGTAGCTGCAGGAAGTAAAGCCAAATGCTTCAAGACCTTTGAGATCTGGCCCCAACCTACCTTTCCAATCTCACCTCTCTTTTTTTTTTGGTAGGACTGAGGTTTGAATTCAGGGCTTTGCGCTTGCAAAGCAGGTACTCTACCACTTGAGGCATGCCTCCAAACCTCAATCTCACCTGTCACTTCTTCAGGCACTATTTCCCAAATCTAATTCTCAAAACCCAGGCAAATACTCTAAACCTTTCTTCTTACTTTTTCTTCTACATTTTTCTACTTCAACTTCCCTTAATCCTCACAACTTTAGAAAACGAATACTGTCTCCCCAATTTTATGTGTAAGGAAACCTCAGGTCTTTTTAATTTCCAACACGTGCCACACTGTTCTACGGAACCCAGTTTATTGTTGGTTTCTGGACTGCAGAGACAAAAGCACAATGTAGCTTTCCACAATTATTTCTAAACAAGATAGATAAACCGTTTCTCTCCACACCCAGAGCAATGGATACCGCCCCAATTTAGTCGGGAACTCTAAATTAGTCCCAATAGCTGTGCCAAAGGAAGCTTAGTTCCCCCCGCCCCGGTACTAGGGCTTGAACTCAGGGCCTTCACCTTGAGCCACTCCACCAGTCCTATTGTTGTGATGGGTTTTTCAAGACAGGGTCAGGTGAACTATTTGCCTGGGTTGGCTTCCAACAGCAATCCTCCTGATCTCTGCCTCCTGAGTAGCTAGGATTACAGGCGTAAACCACCAGCGTCGGGCAATAAATGGCATCTTTTTAAGAGTAAAAAAGCTGAAATACATTGTGCAGTTTATCCCTGGCCGCTAATAATAAACAACAACTCTCTTAAGTGTCAGATCTCAAGGGACCGCCACACTGCAGCCCTCAGCATTATTCGGTGAACTGTTTTCCGTTCCAACGTGCGATAAATAACGCCTACCCAGAATGAAAAACTACGGCGGCTAACATCCACTATGGTGCGGGTCCTAAGGCTTCCACGCTCCGGGTGGGGCACCACTGGCAAAAAAAGAACCCCTCCAAAGCTGCTACTCAGTAAGGACCACTTTGAAGGACCAAGCGTGAGAGGGCAAGGGCTCGATCCCGAACCGATGCGGGGTCCGGCCTAGGGCGAAGGAGGCGATACCTTTGGCCGCGGAAATGTTGCTGAAGCGGATCTGGGCCGGCTTGTCGCGGTCCTGGTAGGCGCCTTTTCCACGGCCGCCAGCAGCCCCAGCGGGCGCCCCGCTTCGGGGTGCCACATTCTCTGGCATAGCAAACTTGGGTAAGTCTGCGAGGGCTCAGGAAGGTCGGATGGCTACGGATTCCTGCCGGCCGCGAAGTAGCGGCGTACGTCCACCGCCTCCACGAACCTTCCAGAAACGGCGCCGGCGCCGGGAGGAGGTGGAGAAGGGGACCTTCCTGGCGGCGCGGCGCCGGCGTGACGTAGAGGCTGCCCGCCGCGCGCCGGGTATGGTGGCCACGCGGGGCGTTCCAGGTCCACGGCGCTGTCCGCGGGAACACTGGGGACGAAGGGAGAGGCGGGGCGCATTCACACGGGGCCGCAAGGTAAGGCGTGATTTTTATAGGCGGGTGTTAGGGACACTCACATCTCACCACCGCACTCTCCACGGCTGCGAGGTCCCCTCCACTAACTCCGGATGGACCTATTGGCGAGGTGGTTCCTGCGCCGACTTTGCTCCGGACTTGTGATGGGGTAGCTTGGTGATGCCCCTACCTATACCTGAATTGTGTTCAGTTTTACTCATTTTGAAAAGGAGTATGAAGAGGAGACTTACGATGGGGAGATCCTTCCCTTTGTTCTGACTGTTAAGGATGGTTGTTTCGTTTTGATTGACACTGGGTGATGGAGGTTTAAATAAACGCTAAAGAATCAGGACTGCCTGTTTACGTACTGCACCAGCTCATTTACACTAGTTTCTCCTGTGTAACATAAACATTATAATAACTGTTTAGTTGAGTTATCTGCTAATCAAAGAGCTGAACCTTTACACAGTTTATCTCACTTTATCCTCAATAATCCTATGCAGTAGGTGCCATTGTCTTGACTTAGTGGATGAGCGAACTGAAGCCCAGTCTACTGCCAATAAGTAGGTGGAAGCGGTATTCCAATACACAGCAAGAAATTTCTCATGAACTAAGCTGCCCGACTCCTATTACCACTATATTTGAATAGGAACGTTAATGTAGGCCACATTCATTAAGTATTGGTTTGCAAGTAATTCTTAAGCAGCCTTAAGTGACAGATGGTCCCAAGTAGGTTCAAGGACAATTGTTCCATGGACTTGATCATATGATTGTTAGGTACTCTTGAAACTGGAGTTTTGGATCCCAGGCTTTCACATGTCAGGTTCGGACACTCATCCCTGTATGCCAAATAAAAATCCATGGTGAAGGGCAGAGAAAGGGGATTTATTATATGCCCCAGGACTTGCCCTGGGAAGAGGCAAAGTAAGCACTTCAGCCCATCTTTACCCATCTTTGGGGTACAAACTGAGCTTAAGCTTTAAATAGACAAAGAATTAGAGCAGGGGACAAAAGGTATGCATTAACAGTCCTAGTCACAGGTGTGTCCTGCTTGGTCACTATCTCAGTCCTTGTTTTTCAAGGGTTCCAGAGAAGATGTTACCGCTGTCATCACTTGAGGGGAGCAGTCTGGTTCCCATGAGATGATTAATCCTGCTCCAAGGTGCAGCCTCATCCTTATATGTAATTGTCCTCATTTTTGCTGTCCTGCAAGGCTCTACTGTTCTCTAGGGGTAGTTTCAGTTCCTTGTCGTAAAGATATTATTGATCTTTTCTACGCTTCCTTGATTCCAAGGTGTCTGCAGGAGAGAATGGCTCAGAGCAAAGGACAGTAGGCACAAGAGGGAGGCAGAGATGCCAAACTTTTCTCCTGTTTTCAGCTAACTTGTGGGCCCAAGTAAAGAGTCAGTGCTTTTCAGCAAAAGTAGTTTAAACACCTCTTGCAATTTTATATGCATTCAGGCTGTTAGGACTAGAAGATGAAGCTTCTTGGGTCTCTGTAATCTGTAAGCCTCTAGGGCAGACTTCTCTTCAAAGGACCAGTTTCCTCTCATGTAGCACATGAACATTCTATGATTGTTAAAACAAGCGATGTAATATGGTGAAAATAAGCATACGATATGGAAATAGCATTAACTTGAGGATCTAAAATTCTGGGTTTCAGTTCCAGCTTCATTACTTATTACCTGTGTGATCTTTAGCAAGTCACTTAAGTTCTCTGGGTTTCATTTTCCTTATCTATAAAATAGGAGGGTTGAACTATATGGTCTCCTAAGTGCTCAACCAGTTCCATCAGTGTAAGGAGTAGAACAGCTATAAAGAACAGGAGGATTTGGAAGTTACATTATTGGTTTCTTAGGGCAGTCTCCCTGGGTGTGACAGTTACTTTATTTGAAAAGTTTCAAGTTATAGACATTTTTCTGTGCCAATTTAAATCAGAATTGTTTTTGCGCCAGGGACTAAGCAACAAATAAATGCTAAAAATTTGCTTACATTTGTTAGGGTTAGTAGTGAGGATAGCCATGTTAGGACCAGACACCCTCCCTGCTTGCAGGTGGTTTACTGGAAACTCCCCACCCAATCCCAAAGACTGACAAAGGGACAGTTGTTAACCTTTGTTTCTGAGTGGGTGCCAAGAACAGTTGAGCAGACAGTGACCTAACCACAACTTACCTTCCTTGCTTGCCCAGCAACAATATTCCTTAGGAATATTCCTGGTACTTTTCCACTAGCTCCCTATATCTACCCCAAGCCTGTGGATGGCAGTGGGCTTTAGCTGTCTTACTGGAGACCCCCTCCACAGGCTCTCTTTCCCAAATAAAGCTTGTGCTGGTGTTGAACCACCTCCACCTTCTGTACCTCTCTTCAGGTTAACAACATTAGGGTGTCCATGTACATTAATTCTCCATTAGAATGGGATTTCAACAAGTATTAAAACAAGAAAATTTTGTAGGGTACTTCATATAAGCAAAGCTCATGAAGGATAGAAATATTTATTTTTAGCTGGGTGCAGTGGCTTACATCTGTAGTCCTAGCTTCTTAGGAGGCAGGGATCAGGAGGATGAAGGTTCAAAGCCAACCCAGGAAAACAGTTTTCAAGACCCTATCTCAAAAATACCCAACACAAAACAGGGCTGGCAGAGTGGCTTAAGTGGTAGAGTACTTGCCTAGAAAGCATGGGGCCCAGAGCCACCATAGTCTTTTTTTAAAGACTATCCTATTAGTTCAAACCCCAGTACCACAAAAAAAAAAAAAAAAAAAAAGACTAGCCTATCAAATCCATGCAGACACAAGGCTTATGTGGGAATGCTGACAATAAACAATATCCTTACAGACTTTCTTCAATAGTTTGTAAAATAGGTTTTACAAAACAGTAATACTTGACTAACCTCCATCTTGGGTTCTCTCTAGGGTGGATGTCCCACCATATCTTAGATCCCAATAATAGGAGTGAGCCAGCCCATGGCTATCATTAGAAAAGGAGAAAGGGTCCAGGTGCCAGTGGCTCATGCCTGTAATTCTATCTACTCAGGAGGCAGAGATCAGGAAGATTGCTGCTTGAAGCAAGTCAGGGCAAACAGTTCGAGAGACCTGATCTTGAGGCCCATCATAAAAAAGGGCTGGTGGGGTGGCTCAAGGTGTAGGCCATGAGTTCAAACCCCAGTACTGAAGAAAAAAAAAAAAAAAGAAAAGGAGAAAGGTGTGGGCATCTTCTCTTTTAGGTTTGCACTCCACTTCAAGACAAGGTTTGATGTTATTTTGTATGACCTTTGCTTCTCTGCATTGTTTTATGTTACTGACATTACTATTTTCCTAAGCCATACTGTTTATACCATTCTTTTCTTTTGGCAGTACTGGGGTTTGAACTCAGGGCTTTGAGCTTTGGAGGCAGGCACTCTACTGCCTGCGCCATGCCTCCATCCCCTACCATTATCTTAAAGTTAAGCTTCTAATACTAACATGAAACAAGCCTGTTTTCAGTAAATATATTTTGATTTTCCTAAATTTCCTTGAATGGTTTAAGTTCACATTTTTACTATTTTCTAACCCTCTCATTTAAAATATTTCTATATTTCTATCTGAAAATAGGAAGAGAAAAAGCCAAAGGAGGATGCTGGCAAACTTAGAAGTTTTATGACATATGTTGAGTAAATAAAGAACCAGATTTTCTGTCTGAAAAGGGAATAACTAATCTTTAATTGTTGTAGTACTACCAAGAGCTACAATGTTGCAAACTTGTGGGGAAAAAATGATTGCCGCTTTGGGGATTCAGGATATGGAGAGGCACAATATGGTATAATGGGGAACTGGAAGCTGCCCCACTCCTATCTCCTACAGCAACAATAATTTTATAGATGTTCACCAGTGGAAGTGCTTGTAGGAGCTGTAGGAGAAAGCAGGGGACTGTGAAACTGTGGTGACGCCTAAGATCCAGGAAGGGCTACTTTCAGACTGCAGCTGAGAAGGTCTGGAGACAAGACTTACAGCCATTTCAGGGTTTGCCTTGGGACTCATGTTGGTGGGCCTGTCAGATGACTCCTTTCCAGGTCCCTTGATGAATAGTTCTGGTGGGAGGACCAGGACCTAGTGGTACTACAGCCAAGTTCATTGGGGATGAGGCCATTGTCTAATGACATCATATTTTTAACCATCTGAATGTTTAATTAACCAGCCAAGTGCGCTTGTCTTGTTGACTTTTTCGATTGTCAATGTAAAAGGCAAAGATTTATACAATATGAGAAACCAGAGTATAAGAAGTTGTGTGTGTGTGGTTTTTTTTTTTTTTTAGTTCTAGGAAACAAACCCAGAGCCTTGCATGTGCTAGGCAAGTGCTCTAGTGAGATTAAAGTTAAGAGATAGAAAATGGTCAGGCTGAACAGGCACAGAGGAACTCGATGGAAACAGAGATGAGATAAACAGGTTTGGGGAGTCTGGGGAATTTTAAAACTACTTGCCCAGGCCTTGAAACTACCAAGGCATGCAAATGGAACATGAGCCTTGCCCTGATAGGATGCCAGGCTGGTACGCTGGATCTCAGGGCCATTGGGAAGGACAAGAGGGAACGCATTGGCTAGTGATGACATACATACCCTAAATGGACCAATAGCACAGAGATACACCAGCTTCCCTTCAACCAGGAAATAAAATCCTTATAAAAACCACTAGACAGAGAGCCTCTAGGGCTCAGCCTTTCTGAGACCCCTCCTGTACTGGTGTTTCTTCTCTCTTTTTCTTGTCTGCTTGAATAAAACTCAGCTTTTCCTCTCTGCTTAAGTAAGGCTCTGCTCTCTTGTTCACCCTGTTGTCTGTGATTTTCATTCTTCGATTGCGAGAGACAAAGTTCCCCGGGCACTACTGTGCCACACCTGAGACCAGATAC